CCCATAACCCCTTGTGCTTTTGCATAATATCACATGACCTCCTTAAATTTCAAAATATCTACATAATTCTTATATAGTTTTATGAAAAGTGAAAATTAAATAAAAAGCATCTCTAGTTACGGTGATTGATTAGTACAAACTCCAACACTGCATGCGATAAAATTTTAGGGTTAATTACATTTACTTCCCCTGAAATTTGACCAAATTACAAAACAAACCTTGTGGTATGACCAAATTATATTTATCCCCCTGTCATTGACACCGTCTAAGTCCAACTAACAGATGTGTGTGTGTGTGTGTGTATATATATATATAAAAGAAGGAAAAGAAATGACAATAGTGTATTCATAAAGCCATACGGCATAAACAAACTGGAAAAGTAATAAAAAAATTTGCTTCATACAGAAGGAAATAGACAAAGTAGCTACTAGGAGAATAAAGTGTGGAAGATGAGGAGAAAGGAACAGAAAAAAGAAAATGAAAAAAAGAAAAGAAATCCATCCCTCCAACTCAGTAGATGCTCTTTCTCCAGTTTTCCTCCCCCCTTTCGGATCTTTATGCCAATTGCTTGACCGCAATAGGTCTAATTCCACAAGTCTACCTCACCAAACCATTTATTTCATCCTCATCTACAACCATTTTTTATCCCCTCATCTTTTTCTTGTCAATACACATACTGTATAAAGAGCAACTTTCCCTGAGACAAACTAAATCTTAGATGAATCTGACAGTTGGATACAATTTTTTTGACATTTCAACAAGTCTTTATCAATATTTGATGATGTTTCAAATGGGTTTCCTGGAGAATGGATCTGCATTTGGTGGCATGAATTTGGCATCCTAGTGAAATTGCAAATTCCTCCAATGGCTCCTTTTCTTTTTTGTTTTGTCTTTCTTTCGTAGAACCTCTCATTCATCATTTTGCTTTCACTGTTTAAAGCTTGAAATCGGAAATTGATACGAACATTTTTTATCTTACAAATCTGCTCATTTTTCTGTGTATTCATATTTCTCTCAATTTGCAAATTAAATTTTTGTTGTAGTTTTCTCACATTGAAAAAGAACGCATTATTTGGTGTCTAATTTAGCATCAACTAGAACTGCACGGTTAATTTTTGGTGAAATTAGTCTGCAAGTTTGCTATTTCTTGCCAAATTAATTTTTGCGTTAGAGGTTGTAGCTAGGAGATTCATCCCCAGGTTAGCTAATGCCGGACGATAAAAGCACTATTTGTTAGTGGGGTGAATGTGATTGGTGTTGACTGTTGAGGAAGGATGAAGGTTTTGTTTTAATTTCTTTTTTGGCATTTTAGGACTTCATTTATTTTTGTGGTTACAATAGGACTTCCACTACAAATTTATGTTGACTTCATGAACAGCTAGGCACTCAACGTTATTAAACTAACTAGTTTTGTGGTTACAATAGGACTTCCACTACAAATTTATGTTGGCTTCATGAACAGCTAGGCACTCAACGTTATTAAACTAACTAGTTTTGTACCCGTTCATTGAACGGGAATCGTCGAAAAAAAATAAACTATTTAATCAATTTTATAAAAATATCGATATAAAATACAAATTTAATGTATAATCTATTATAACTTGTCTTAAGTATATTACTATGTACGCATTGTAATATACAGTATTCTAATAATATAAATTTGAACATCTAATTCAGTGAATAATAATTCAAAAATGGAAAAAATGACATTCAACAATACCATAACATTCAAAAATTTGAAAATAAATAAAAAGTACAGTAAATAGTATCAAATAATATTCTACTCTTCAAAAACTTGTTTTTGTTTTTCTTATGTTTGAACATTCTCCTCGATTTGTCCGTGCAAATCAGCATTTATTGATTTTTCATTATCACTGCATGATAGCAAAGTAGGGTAACTAAGTATAAAAAATTAAATGATTTATCGCATTCAAGGTTGTGTATAACAATACGTAAAGATTATAATTTAAGAAAGTAAAATAGTATATTAAATCTACCTTGTCATGCAAATTTTTTTATGAGGATTCCCTTCCTCAGTGATTTTTGTTGAACCCCCTGATGAATGATTCATATGAAGTGTATTGAAATATTGTTGATTAGAATCATCTGTTATACTAATTGGGATCTGGGAAGAAGATGCTAATAGTGGTAGCTAATATTCTGAATGTAGATAGAATTTGCTTCTAAACTTGATTATGGGAGCAAGGAATTGATGTATTCTGCAAAGCACTTTCATGGCGCTATTTATGAAGCATAGACTATAAGTGTATATAGCCAATAGTTGCCGGAAGTTCATGTTATTTAAGTGATCAGGTTCCTGACCTCTCTTCTATTTAAACTATGTTGGTAAGATATAGGGAGAATTGTAATTTTGATCCCCAATCTATAGTGTATGCCCGGATTGAGTCCCCAATTTATTTCAAAAATCAATTTTGGTCCCTAATCTGTATTCAATTTTGCGCTAAAAGTGGACAATTGACCGAATTTGTTCAATTTCAACCGGAACCATGTCACGTGAGATCACGTGCCGGCACTAAAACCCCCTTTTCAATTTTTTTTTTATTTTTGAAACACCTTTTTTAATATTTTCAGCTCTGTCTTGCCTTTGGACATATTAAACAAAGACATTAATTGCTAAAATTCTCTAATTAAGGACTGGAGCCCACCAAAAAGGTTGAATATCAGACAAAGGAAAAGAAGCTGTCGTCCACTACTTCCTTCTTTCCTCATCTTCTTTCTTTCAACTCAAGAAGAAACCCTAGGAGCTTCAATCCCATTCTAATCGGACAAAACCATTTTCACGTCATTGTGACAAAAAGTTGCAAGATCTGGGCAAAAACTTTGTATTGAGTTTCTTCTATTTTCAATTTAGCTCCTCATGGAACCAATGAAAAATTGCGACTGCAAGCAGCGAGCAATAATGGTTACTTCTTGGACAAACAACAATCCTGAGAGAAGATATTTCACTTGTGCAATGAAGAAGGTATGATTGTCTCTGTTTCTGATTTCGAGATTTCTGTCTCTATTTCTGAGTTTTGTGCTAAAGCTTTATGATGTTGGCTGTGAAAGGTGACAGAGGAAAAGGATGCGATTATTTTGAATGGCATGATCCGAAAATGTGTAGAAGGTCAACAGCTCTGATTCCTGGACTACTACATAGCATGAACTCTAAGAATGCTACAATTGAGAGGCTAAGAGCAAGGAAAAGAAAATTACTGGTAGCAATTTTGTTGTTGCTACTTCTGCTGGTTATTGTGTTATTGGTGTAAAACTCAAGAAGGTTGGACAATCTTGGTATCAACTAAGCAGCTCAAGGAAAATATGTTAAGTATTAGGCTAAGCTAGGTATTGTCTGAACTTAGAGATGAAAGACATTCATCCAGATTGTAATTTTGATTTTTTTGTTGTTGGAATGGGTGAATGTGTAAGTTAGAATGTAGTATCAGGCTAGCACATTCTGTTTATTGAATGAATGAATATATTGGATGTTGCAATCTGCTTTTAATTAGTTGTTTTTAAAGTTCATTTACAATTTAACTGGATGTTGAGTTCTCCTTGAAAAATGAATTAAATTTGAGAAACACCACAAAACAGAATGAAAACTTGAATGAAAGCAGAATGTAAATAAACACCAGAAAACAGGATGAAGTAAATTCACTGCAATCCCTACCTAGAATCCTATATAAAACTTGAAGCAGCGAGCTATGATAATTTCCACAATCCAGAACTACCAGAAAACAGAATGAAAACTGAACTTCAAAATGTGGAAGTAAGCAAAATAAAATGGCCAAAATTCACGTTCATAATCTATGTGCAAGATAAAAGAAGAATTCATTGCTGGATTGGAACCAATGAACAAAAGATACATTCAGTGATCATTACAACCATCAAATAGACATTGTTTTGTTATTTGCCAGAAATGATTACAAAATGGCCAGAATGTCATGTTCACACTAGCTTGTTCTCAAGATACATGAGTTCCAAATACCAATGTACAAAAGCTACTAATCTGACAAAAGCTACTACTAATCAAATTCAGCAACACAACCACTCCAAAAGCTGCTGATTAACAACATTCAGTTAGGTACTGATTAGCTACTCTTCAGCAAGTTGATGCTAGCTTTTCCTTTGTCATTCCAAGGTGGATTTGAACATCTCTGATCCTAAAAGGTATTCTTGTTCCTCCTTGGCCAACTGGTTGACTGCTATGTACCACAAAATTCTCTGGGAACCCAAAAGCTTCATGCAAGTTTGGTTGAGCAGTAGGGGCAGAACTGATTATATTGTCATCACCAGTTGTTGGGTTATTCTGTGATGAATCTATTTGCTTTGCATTTCGTTTGGTGTCATTTCTCTGCAATACATCAGCATTTAATCACTAAATATTGAACTCACAAGAAACAATAGCACTATGTACATTAAGTAATAAAATTACAACAAATTTTCTTGATGTTTTTGTTCTCCTTTTCTTTGCATTTGAAATGTTGCCCCTGACATGCAATAAAGCATAAAATGCATTAGCTGCTACAATGTTACAAACATAGTTCATGTATATCTATTTACACAAATTACACGCCTGACTTACAGAGTTATCTACTCTCATGTCATCTAGTTGTGAGAGACTTATATCCTTCTGATTTGCTTGTGTTTCCTGCCCCTGTTCACTCATTTGACTGGCTGCAACACCTGCTTCCTCTCTAAGCTTACATGTACGTGTTATGGCCTTGCTTACCACAGAATGAGCATTTACAAATTTGATCAAATCTCCTCACCTTCTTGCCCTGCTCCTTTGTTTGCTGTATCTCATCAGCAGATTTTCTCCTCTGTTTCTTTGGTTTTCCTGGTGCTCTTCCATAAGTTGGTGGCAGGGGTGGCTGAACATCTACATCTTCCCACTCATGCTCTCCATTCACAGGTAAAATGCAAGGATCATAACACTTAAGATACGTTTCAACACTGTAACAGTCATCAATGTACTGCATAGGGTCCTTCATAGCAATTCACAAAGCTGAAATTGCATGAGCACATGGTATCCCTGTCAAATCCCATTTCCTACATGAGCAAGTCCTATCCTTAATGTTGACTGCCCACTTTTCAGCATAAGGATCAGCAACTTCAAAACTGACATCATTTGATTTGTAAGGCACATAGTAAGTTGCCTTGTCAATATTGACCTTCATCATTTTTCTAATTTTTGGACAGAAACCAAATTTGCTCCACTTTTCCCTAGCTATATCTCCATTTTCTTGCATTCTTTGCATGACAACATGCGCAATGCCTCCATCATGACAACAATGGACCCTTCCTGGCATTTAATATTTTGCTGTTAAATGATTCACATATGTTATTCAACAACATATCACATTTAGGGAATGTTCTGAAGTGTGATCTACTCCACTCTGCTGGATTCTTGTCCTCTAACCACTTAATTGCATCAACATCCAGTTCTTCTATGGCTTCCATTCTTCTTATGAATTGTGCATGAGTAGTTGCCTTAACTGCTTTCCATAAGGCTTGCCTCATGGCTGTCCCTTTGAATCCAGCAGCTACCATATTGCTATGCATATGCTTCATACAAAATCTATGACCAGCCCCTGGAAAAACTGAATCACATGCCTGAATTATGCCCTTCTGCTTGTCACTTATTATGGTCCATTCATAGTCATTTTCAATTTTTAGATCCTTCTTAAGTAAAGTAAGAAACCAAATCCAGGAATCCTTAGTTTCTCCCTCAGTTGCTACATAAGCAATTGGATACAAACCATTATTTGGATCAACTCCAACTGCTGTCAGTAATACTCCACCAGCCGCATCTTTGAGAAAAGTTTCATCTAACCCAAACACAGGCCTGCAAGTATCTAAAAATCTTTTTTTCACCCCAGCAAAGCACATGTACAATCTTTGAAATTTCCCTTGTTTGGTGACTGAATCACAGTAGTCTTCTGCCACCTTCATTACTACAGTACTACCTGGGTTACTTCTCAAGATTTCATTGATATACTTGGGCAACTTATTGTACTGGTCCACATCACTACCTTGGGCCAACTCCCTGCCAATTTTTCTAGCTCTATAGTCTTGATGTCTACTCAAATAGCACTTGTTCTCTTTCATTACCAGGTTTTTGAAGCTAGCATTATCCAGCTTGGGATTCTCCCTAAATGTGTTAACATATTTTCTGCCAATCCATCCAAATTTCACACTCTTGTTATGATATGAAAACCCACACTTGTGCTTCTGCTGGAATGTCCTAACTTCTAGTCTGCCATCACCTTTCATCTTCCTAGCATATATGCACCAGTCACAGCCTTTTTTAGGACAAATTGCCCTGCATCTAATGGTGTCACTCTTGATAAATTTAAATGGTCTACCCCGTTTGATATTCCAGGTTCTAACTGCCTCTTTAAACTTCTTGAATGTGGTAAATACCTACCTAATTTCAAGGTTGGGGTTATCTGCATGCTTGGGGTCATACATAAGGGGTCTACAATGACCCTCTTCATCTGAACCTTGGAGACTATCAATATCTGAACCTGAATCTGGTGCAACATCCATGTCAGAGTTGTCATCATCAGTATCAGAATTACTCACTGTTTGTCCACTAGTTTCCTTTACACATTCCTTTTTTTCATTCCTCTTAAGTTGCTCTTTTCTGTGATTTTCTACCCCTAACCATTCTAAATTATGATCAACATTTTCTTCATACTCATTGTCATCAGAATTTTGCTCATAATTAGAATCTTTTCCTGAAAATTCTCCAGAATCAGAACCTAAGTTGTATTGACTATCAGATTCATCATCTTCATCTTCTAATACAAAATCTTCATCATCAACATCAGACCCCCACTGTGATGCTAATAACTCACTAAAAGAAACCTCTATGTACAACTCAACTACCCTTCCGTACTGAAACTGATCAACACAATAGGCATGCAATTCTCTATCATGCTCTAACAAACGGAAGCCATGTTCCTCTATCAAAATGTGGTACTTTTTGTCACCTATAGCCCCAACCTGACTTTCTAACATTCTATCCATTTCAAAAAGGCTTATACCTGTGACCTTTACATGATCAAATACCCTTAATTCACCTCCCTCATAATGAACATCAGGTTTAGTTTCGCATTTTTCCCATAAGTGACACTTCATAGTCACTTCCGTGCTATCACTGTCTATATTAAAAAAACAAAAACAAAAACAACACAGGCCATAATTTAGATGACAGAAATAGGTGCTGCTAGCAAACCGACAATAAAAAATGCATACTTTAGCAAACATTCAAAGACAAGGACCATCAATTGCAGTAAAATAAGTCCCACTTGTACAGTAAGAACCAGCATGATAAGATCCCGTTTAGAGGCACACATGGACCACACCACAAATGACAAATTTTTTCCTTAGTTTTTCAAGATTGGTCTTTAATAAAGCCAAAATTGTCAGATTTTCCCCCCGAAGTACAAAAAACATCTTTTTTCCACTATATTCTAACATTATAGTTGGCGATTGTGCATATATATCACAAAAAGAAGGCAAAATCCCATACCATAATTAGGTGCTGCCAGTTTGTTCATTTCCTTAGGTCTCACTGCCATTTCTACTTTGCAATGCCACGAGCAGCTTCAGCTTGACTGAATTCAGCAGATTTTTTCGTAATTTTTTCACGTTTTGATTCTTGATTTTGGCTTTTAAGGTTCGGTGAGCTGTTTGCTGAAGAGAGTTTGACCAGGTTGAGTAGTGGACGACAGCTTCTTTTTCTCTGTCTGATATTCAACCTTTTTGGTGTGCTCCAGTCCTTAATTAGAGAATTTTAGCAATTAATGTCTTTGTTTAATATGTCCAAAGGCAAGACAGAGCTGAAAATATTAAAAAAGATGTTTCGGAAATTAAAAAAATTGAAAAGGGGATTTTAGTGTCGGCACGTGATCTCACGTGACATGGTTACAGTTGAAATTGAACAAATTCCGTCAATTGTCCACTTTTAGCGCAAAATTGAATAGATTAGGGACCAAAATTGATTTTCGAAATAGATTGGGGACTCAATCCGGGCATACACTATAGATTAGGGACCAAAATTACAATTCTCCCTAAGACATAAGGCTAACTTTTTAAAAACCTTGTGAAACCATTCTCAAGTGGATTAATTAAGTAAACGGTCAGAGTCTTTTAATTAACTAATGAATTTGTAGATATATCTAATAAAGATATTTATGTCTCTTGTATTTATATCGCATTACTTTCCAGTGCCTTTTGTTTTTGGTTGTTTTTCCTAAAGGCAAATTAACAAACATTTTAGCATATGATCACAAAAATCAATTAACAAACATGTTAGCAAAAATCCTACAAAAATAACGATGAAAGTACTTGTTTAAATCCTATGTCTTCATACAAAACAAACAGAAAATAAAACAAAAAAAAATAAAATTCAAGATATGTTACTAAACTCTTATAATTAAAGATCAACATGCCTTTTTTTTTTTAAAAATATGTATTGAAAGAAGATGTACCTGATAATCCAGATGAGTGGAAACCCAAAATCGATACTTTAATGTGCCAACCGCTTGCACTGGAAATACATAACCATGAATTTGATGCTTGAAATCAATATATTAGAAACTATATGTATTGTAGGCATAAGAAATAAGAATTGATAAGTATATAAAGAAATATTGATAAGAACATTAAAAGTAGGTTTATCTTGATTTAAGTTGCTTAGAGTACGTAACTTTGAGTAGAATAAGAATCTTAAAATATTAAGAATTCTTATAGGAAATAGAACCACAATCGTCCAAATACCTTTGGGTAAGAAATGAGACAATCTAAATCTAGCGGCTCAGAATTTCCTCTAGCAAACTATAGCCATAGGGGCCACAAAACTCAAGTGACAGCATCCTTTTAGATGTCTCATTTGCTCGTAAATGCATCTCAAATAGGAATTTATATTTGACCGTACGGGTTAATAGGAATTTACAAACCCGTGCTCAAATAGGAATTTATATTTGACTATACGGGTCAAATACATATAGTTAATTGGATTCAATTAACTTTTTATTTTCCATAAATTTCATGCTATCCACTATGTCTTGATAACACACTTAATAATAAAATTTATTAAGAATCCTATTAGGAAATTACTTGCCGTCTCGTTAAGCCACGTAGGAAAGAGAAAACATGAAGGGATAAGAATAAGAATACGACTTTATTATATATATATATATATATATATATATATATATATATATATATATATATATATGATGGTAGGGATTTATACTGATTGTGAGGGACTTTCTTATAGTTTGTCTAAATATTCACTTAATCCCCTACTAATTTTGCACCTATTCACATAATCGCCTATGATTTTATACCAAGTAGTTAGATATCAATTACTGCTTAAGTAAGGGTAACACAGGCATTTCAACTTAAGACATCATGGAGATTATTTTCTATTAAATTTTTACTTTAGATAATACTACAAGAGATTTATATGGATATTTTAAAATATTAAGGGAATTATTTGGTATCATGCAAAATCATCGGGGTTATGAGTAGTTTATCCTTATTGATTTGTTAGTTGAGGTGCTGATTATATGAAAAATAACTCCATAAATGGTATAGACCGATTGGAAATGAGCAAGGTACAAAAAAAGCATTTATTCTGACTTGTGAAAATTATGCAAAAAATGAAAAGGAAAACCACCAAGCGAAACAAAGTAAGAAATTAGCCAACACGTACGGAAGAGAATAAAAGCATTTCTTATCTCCATCGTTTAATTATAACATTCCACTTTCCCCTCTTCCTTTGAGATTTACGATTAATTATCCTAGTTATAATCCAAAAAGATGGAGCTAAGAAGCTACATAAAACATTCGATTAGAAACTTCCAAGATGCTAGCTTGCATGAGATTCATTTTTTTTTTTGTCAAATTTATTTTCACATTTAAATGTGAACAAAAACCACAAGTCTCTTGATGACCTCATCTCATGATTCTCCATTTACAGTTGATGAGAGTAAAATATTTCAACCTTTTTCGTTCCCCTCAATCTATGAAAAGCAAAAACTTTACGCAAATGGCTAGGTTGCGTGTGAGAATCCATCAAAAAGTGGCATCCGCTAAAGCATTATTCCAATCACATCTATGCGAAAGAGAAACTTTACTCAATCTAAAACAAAATTTTGATTCTTTATTAAAGATATAAAGTGATTATCTTAATTAACTATATACTCCCAATTAGAAGGTACTTATTCTCGTCCATCTCGTGTACTTTTAGATCTTAGGAGTTTCTTCTTTTTTTAGTGATTCTTAGTGAGAGTTTTCTCCTGTTGCAGGGATTCTTGGTAATAGTTTTCTCCTTTCCTAGATATTCCTAGTAAGAGTTTTGTTAGTTTTATAATTAATTCTCTTTTGATCCAAGTTTTCTCAGATTTGATTTGATTGTCACATTGAGATCCCCTAGATCTATCTCATCAGATGTCACATCAACATTTAGGTTTGAATTAGTTTATTAGCAATGGTTGGAAGCACGAACAAATGATCATGGGACTATAAGTGTTTTATCTTTTAAGCATATTTTGAATTTCATAGTGTAATATTCTCTTGACTTTTTAAATTTGTAGGAGTATTTAATTTTGTTCTTCAGATCTATTTATATTTGTGTGTGGTTGATGTAATTTCTATCATTAGTGCAGATTTAATGAATGATGGTTTTATCCGAAAAAAAGACACAAAATATGAGTAACACAACAAATTTAACGTGCACATATTTTCCATGCCTAGACTCATTTTTCTCTCTGACTTACTAAGAACGCTGCTTTTGTGTATGGACTCAAGAATGTGGATCCATCTATATATTTTTACTTACTTCATTTAGTCACATCTGAAATAATAATAATAATGGCCCACCCTAATAATTCACTAAGGAAATCTCCTTAACAGTGTTTATCTTTTATTTTTAGGAATTTTCTTAGAAATAAGTAATACAAATCATTTCAGAACTTTTTATTCTGCATAAAGAAAAATGATTTTTCTAGGGCACTAGTTAGCATGCATTTTTCATCTTTAGTGTGCCACTATTTTCTCGTTGCAGTTAAATACTTTACTTATATAAATTTGCTCTTCTTAAAGAAAAAATAACTCCATTTCTGATATCTAACAAAACTGGTAAGATATAGCTCGCAGGATATTAGTCAGGTGATCATATAATCTCTGCTGATTTGACATTCGAGTCCTCCCTTTCCCCTTTCCCATTGTAAGACTCGAAATCACAGTGCTTTAAGAAC